CAACGGCTTAGCATATATAACCTTGGGTAGGGAGAAGTTGACAACTAGTCATATCCCCCCTATAGTACATTTTGAGACATTTCATGTCTGGCAGGCCTAGACATGATATTTTTGAGGCGTCATACGCCCTAGAACTATAGAAGTAAAAACACTAGAATGAAAAGACATGACAAGGGTTTGGCTTGCCATAGGCATGCGGCCATGGGCAACACGCCCTGGACGAGCATGACCGTGACACCTAGCTCCTGCACCAACTCACCACGACAGCCACCACAAAGCAGCCGCTCCAGGCCCACATCATCACCACCGCCACCACCACCATCACCACCATGCGCCTGCGCAGTCCAAGTTCAATGTCATCGAATCTGCCGAATCTCATGGCAACCCTGTTGTTGCACCAACTCATCATGAAAGTCACGGTGCATCAAGCCCTCACCACCACCGCCATGGCCACCACCATCACCACCACCATCACCACGGCCACCATCATGTGGCTGCTCCAAGCCCCCACCACCACCTGCCTACGCAGTCCAAGTTCAATGTCATCGAATCTGTTGAATCTCACGGCAACCCTGTTGTTGCACCAACTCATCATGGCAGTCACCACCAAGTAGCTGCATCAAGCCCTCACCACCACCACCACCACGGCCACCATCATGTAGCTGCTCCAAGCCACCCGCACCACCCCCACCATGCCCACCACGCCCACCACAAAGAAGGTGCCCCAAGCCCTCACCACCACCACGCCCACCACAAAGTAGCTGCCACCATATAGTCGCAGAAGTCCCATTAGCATCCATTGTAATGGACTTATTTTTCTTTTAAAATAAACCTATTACTACGGATATGTCATGAATTGGTTCAAAACTTTAAAATTTGTCATTAACTTCAATATTCATAAATAGTGTAAATATGGTGAAAACACATTTAAAATAAGGTTTAAATATCTTCTAATAGTGAAATCAAACATGCAATTTAATCAAGGGTGGAAAAAATATTCTCATTCATAATAAAGGTGTTTCTTAATTCTTATCATGGTTGGATTCAAGCATTTTCTCTTTGAGATCTCTTCACAAGCTTTGGTCAATATGATAAACAATCACCTAAAAGTCATAATTTAAACCTAAATACTATCTTTAAATTCATAAATCATATTTTGGATTTTTCATCAATTATTAATCAATTTCGATAATGTTTTGAGCCACTTCTGTGAAGGATTCTCGACCAAAAGCCGCAAATTTGAGTTTGGATCTCACTTTCAGCTTCCTCTTTCAAAAATCCTAGCCCTCTCTTTTCTTTTCCTTTTTCTAAGAAGGCTTGTACCTTCGTAGCCTCTGTGCTATAGAAAGGTTAAATCGGGTAAGAAGGGTTGAAGGCGTCACAACGACCGCCGATAGTAGTAGCTTTAACAACAGGGCTGAAAGTGTGAGTGTAGTTGAGACAAGAAATCTTAGTATAACCTTTGGCAACAAGACGAGTCTTGAAATGCTCAACAGATTCATCGAGCAAATAGTTAATGTTAAAACTCATTTAGAGCCCACGTGTTGCACGGGCAAAGAACCAAAATCTAAGTGTTGTTTATTGTAAAGCTCGAATTTCCTCATCCATGACAACAATCCAAACACAATTCTTATCCGTACATTTAAATTTTCTTGGCTCAATGAATGCAAGAAGAGCAAAAAGAAGTCAAAATGAGCTCAAAACATAAAAAATTGTTGGATGATGAGTTTTGAAAATATAAACTTTTGCTCGTGTGATCGTAGGATCAAAACTCAAAGAAGATGAAGAATCAGTAGCAAGTTCAATAGGGGGCGAATCATAAGCCGAGGGAGGCAAAGAGGAACCTGCAAGAGAAGTATCAATTTGCACATACTCATCCACAAGGTCATAACAAATATCACATAAAGATGAGCTAGATCGAGGAATGTGCAGAGGGGATCAATATGGTAAAAGACGTGGCTCCAAGAAATTTGAAATATGAAAAAAGGAAAGAGACCTAGGGATAGCAGAAAAATGAGCTTCATCGAATTGAATGTGACCGGTGATATATAGCCTAGTGGTGATTGGATCAAGACAACAAAACCTTTTATGAGGGGGACTATAACTCAAGAAAATGCAATGAGTCATTTTATTTCTTTTCAAGTCATATTAATGTCGATATGATTTGTTCAACACGTCTTTTGCATTTGGACGATGCTATGTGTAAAATATTAAATATTAGTATTCGCTTTAAAACAATACAAATTTCATTTTACCCTAACCCAAACACCTTCTTGTCCACCTTGATGCATTTGAACTCTTCGTCCAACCGAATCCGCTACATGCTAGTCATAGCATCTCATTGATGGTTGTATATTATTTTTTTGAGATTAACAGCCTTACCATGTATAGTTGACACCCCTTTCAGTTTGATATTCAATAACTTCTCTGCTCATGTAATTGTTTTTGAAACGAGATCACAAATATATAAATTAACAAATAAACTATATTATTTTTTTTTAGAAAAAAAAAAAAAGGACAAATAAAACGAATGAACCATTTGAAACTATATAGCATTCAATGGCCTTAAATTGCTAACAACTAAATAACTCCATGTAGAAACCATAAAGAGCTTAGTTTTAATATCTTTCCGACCCTATTAATACATACACCCATCGACAAAGATGATATCAAAAACAACTTGAAGAACACCGACAATGGCACGAGTGAATTATCTCATTGCTGCTCTATCGCTCCAGATAGTTTGGTCATTATATATGATCAAATTGTGTAGTGCTTCTGATCTTAAAAATTTTAGATCTTTTCCTGCCATTCTTATTTTCGGTGATTCTACAGTAGATACGGGAAATAACAACTTCATTCCCACCATTATAAAGGCTAATTACTCTCCTTATGGCAAAGATTTTCCCAATCATATTGCTACTGGAAGGTTCAGTAATGGAAAACTCATTCCTGACATGGTGGCCTCTAGGTTGGGCATAAAGGAGCTTGTTCCTCCATTCTTGGATCCAAAATTGTCAAATGATGACGTGAAAACAGGAGTTAGTTTTGCATCAGCTGGCTCAGGGTTTGATGATCTAACTACTATGATATACAAAGTTATTCCAATGATGATGCAAGTTGATATGTTCAAGAACTATATTCAAAGACTTACCGAGATTGTAGGTGTAGATGAAAGTAAGAAAATTATTGGTAGTGCTTTAGTTATTCTTAGTGCAGGAACTAATGACTTTACCAAAAATTTCTACGACCTTCCAGTAAGAAAACTACAATACAATATTAGCGGTTACCAAGATTTTATCCAAGATAGACTACAAAGCTTCATCGAGGTAAATTAAACCATATGCACACTATTAACCCTCATCAATATTTGATCGCATAATAATCCAAATTCATTCACATAAGCTTATGAACTCAAACATACTAAACAGGAAATTTACGAGCTTGGATGTCGCAATATAGTGGTTGCTGGCCTACCTCCTATTGGTTGCCTTCCCATTCAAGAGACTATATCGTCTCAACTTCCTCTAACGCGAATATGTTTGGAAGATCAAAACTCGGACTCCATATCCTATAATCAGAAGCTTTCAAAGTTGTTGGGCAATCTGCCATCGCAACTACATGGAAGCACAATATTGTACGCTGACATTTACACCCCTCTCATCGACATGGTCAATAATCCTCACAAGTATGGTAAGTCGGTGCCCATCAAAATAGAAACCTTTATCAACTTATATGATCTAACGTCGTAAATATTTTAGATAAATCAAGTTCTGAGAATCATTTTCCACTAAGTTTTGCTTGCGGCTTTTGGTCGCACAGGTTTTGAGCATACAAACACAGGTTGTTGTGGAACTGGATTGGCAGAAGTAGCGCCTCTATGTAATGCATTAACCCCAACATGTGAAGATTCATCAAAATACCTGTTTTGGGATAGCGTCCATCCGACCGAAGCAGCTTACAAATTCATGACTGAATTATTTCTCAAGCAATTTCTTTAATCACCTAAATCAAAATTTAATAGTTTCAGGTTCTAAGCCTAAGGCTTCACTGTAAGCTGATTTTAAAATGAAACTTGTCTAGACTACTTTCGCAATACTTTTTTTCCAGTAGTTTAATTAACGAAGACTATAATCTGTAAATGTAACTTCTCGCCATCAAATGGACACAAATAGTGTATTTCCAAGCAAAATCTCGTTTTATTTTTATTTATTTATTTGAGAATGACAAGTACTCTTAATCAAATTTATAAAGATACAGTAAGATATTTTTATATTTGATCCTATAATTTAAAAAAAATAAAATTGTACACGTACGAAATAATAAATATAATAAATATTTGGAGACAGACATATTCTTTTCTAATATAAAAAAGAAATATGTATGGTATTAAACTATTATACATTTCAATTTAAATTAGAAATGGTGCTTACAAAACAAGTCGTTATTAACTATATATACATTTGATGGTATATAAAAATCATTATGTATTACAAATTACCATATGGTAGTAGGATATTAAATGCGAGATCTAAAAACTATTTTCTAAATAAAATAATCATAATTTACTGTATTATTCAACAACATGACAATGTGAATTTCTTAATATATTTTTAGAAGAAAAATTAATTTTCAATTTAAACATTTCTTATTAAACCCAACATAACTGAACCATAAAATTTTTGGGTCGGGTTGACTCCGGAATGGATAAGAGATTCATGGTTATGTTTTGGACGTTTTTTTTAATGTAATTGTAATATTCTTCTCCAAATCCACCGCTAGGAGATAGTAGTCTGTTAGTTGATAATGTCTGTTATGTCTTGCTCACATACCATTTATAACAGCGTTGGAGATAAGGTCTTTGGCTCACATACTATTTATGGTTTCTAAACATTTTTTGAAATATTTAGGGGGAAAAAACACTTATGTTTTTAAAAATTAGAAATAAAACATACCAAATATGAATTTAAGTTAATACACCGTACAGGAACGTCACCAAATGATTTATTTTCTAATTTTTTTCGAAATGGGCAATGTAGTATTTATTATTAGCAAAAAAAAAAAAAAAATAAAATAAAAATAACACAGCATAATTCAACTAGTTAAAAAAATATACATCATTCAAACCCATTTAAGTATCATACTCTTCTATTAACATGTCAATTTAAACATTTGGTCTTCTAGTCAGATGATATATGTCTTAACTAATTGAGGAGAGGATTACGCTCAAGTAGCAACATAAACTGTATATAGTATACCGATAAAAATGAGTGTCTTATTGATACAATCCACTTTATAACGGTTACAAATAATTGTATTTAGATTAGATCGTTCACGTGAGAGTGTGTGAGTGGTGATATCTCATACAAAAAGTTCGATGAAGCATCAAAATATCTAATTTTTATTTGTAAATTGTTAATCAAGATCTTAATGTTTCATAGGATGATTATGTGTGACTCTATCTTAATCTTGAGTGAATTTTAAACTCCCACATGTAAAGGCTCGTTGTTTGATCTGTATGAGTGAAAATAGTTTTTGTAACTGGTTCAATAAACGTCAGTTTAGGGCCAAATAAAATGTTAGAAACATAATTTCTCAGGATAAAATTCATTCCTACAACAATGGGTCTCATTCTCTCACTAGTATAATTTTTACAAGTTGAACAATGGGGTCTTAGTTTCTACAAACTTAGTTATGACTGGATCATAAACAAATTATTCAAGTGAGAAGTAAAATTAACTAATTCTCGACATACGCTCTTGGTTTAGTTCATATCCATCACATTCCATATCATGTAAACGAAGAAAAATATACAATTTTATCGACCTTCAAATT